GTGCTACGTATTGTATGTGTGTGGGTGCATCTGTCATATGTGTGTGTGCTTGTGTGTACATGGGCCTGGGGGGTATACTACGAAGCAGGATTTTCGTTTAGCAAGATAACTTCTGGGATTTCCGGTACTACGAAGCTGGTTCCCTTTTTAGCGGGCTAGATCTCCATGGTGACTTATCCTGGAACCTAGTCTGTGCTCCGAAGCAGGATATGTTCCAGGATAAGAGATCAACTCAGCGAAAGCACCGCCTGCTGACCAATCAGAGCTCAGTGTGTGGAGGAAATACAGTTTAAACTGCCGTTGCAGGAAAGACGGCCGGCCAAAATCACCGACTGTGTGAATGTGAAAATTAATAGAATATCACCTCCCATCTTCAGAGCAATCTGACTATTATAACTATTATACTATTAGGCTATGTTAAGAAAGCTTAATTAAATATCTTCCACAACATAAGTAACCGGATCAAAGTAACATTACGTAGCCTAGTCAGCGGCACTGTGAGTGCAGACGTCGATGTGTCCCATTATCATTCATATCACATTATATCACATCATAATGTATCATATATTTCCTTATCTGAGTCACATACTGTATGCAGAAGTATTATTTTAAGCAACACATTAAGTTGACTCGAGTCAAATGTAATGAAAGTCAGATCCACTCGTGACTTAGACGGGGCAGTGATATCATAAACCTGTTAATGTACGCATTCAAACACTTGTTCTGTTACCAGCTGTATTCACCTTGCAGGTAGGCCTACAGCTATGTGGCTTTTGATCCTGGCTAAAGTGTTTAAGTCATGGATGTTTAAAGTTTAACTTCTTCATATTTGACTAATATTATAGTTCACTTTTCATTCAGAAAGTAGGCTGCGCTGTCAGTACGCTTCTCCATGTTTGTGATTGGTCGAATGCTCCAGATACCACCCCTTACATGTGAACGCGCACCTAACTAGATAGGACACGGCTGGCTTGAGCGAACGAGTTGATAACCAGCGTTGTAGGACAGTTTAGCGAGAGCGGCTTTGTTTTGGATTAAGTCAACCGGATAACTCAAAACATATCCAGGATAGGTTGAACTAGATTCGTAGTATACCCCCCTGGTTTCTGGTAGAGCTCCTGCTAAGCTCTGAGCTGCGCTTACTGCTGGACCTGACTCATCTGCATCCGTCCCCCATCCTCCCCCCATTTCTCCCTTTCTTTCAGTCCCATTCTTACCTTCCTCGCTAGTCCTCCTTTTTTGCGGCCCATTTCTATCTGGTTTATTTTATCCCAGTGTTTTTCACATACCTACATCTGATTTTGAAAGTTTGGCTTGTTGTGACAAACTGGAGTTTTTCACCCGACTCAGCGGTTCTCTTCAGTTGTGTTAGCATATTTTAGCTCCTTGGTATGAATGATTTCTTATTTTCTCTCTTATAAATGTAAATCCGCAAAATCCCACTACGATTCATGAGATGTTCATTGACAGCCAAATATGTTCTACCCACCTGAGAAAGAACAATTGCATTCTTACATAAACTGCTTTTCTATGCTTTACGTCATAATAAATGTAATATCTTTGGGGTTTGGACTGACAAAACAAGACATGTCACCTTGGACTGTGAGGAACTGGATTGGAATTATTTCATTAGTATACAAACAAAATTACAGTGCAGATAATGAAAATAAAACCTTGTTGCAACCCTAATGTGCACAACAAAGAAGACTGGGAAACTAGTGTTGAGAATGACAGTTTATTATACTTAGCAGTGCATCTTTGCATTGAAAAGAACTCAATGATGGTACAAAAGACACTAATTAGCCTCTATAGGCCTGAATACGTTTGTATCTACTGCTTTGGAAAGTATTGTATAGTATTTAGAAGTGTTGGCACTGCAAGATAAAACAGTGTTCTCAAAACAAAACCTGTCCCATTGCTATTGTGCCATTCCAAGAAACATCCAAAGCCGTGAATGTTAAATAAGTATGACAAATAAATAACCGCTGTAAGCTTTTATAGTCAATATCAGCAGCTGTAGTTTGGATGAACGAGCCTGTTGTCTAATGTGAGAGCTACACAAAGGAATAACAGCTCTCAGCAGCTGCTTCCAAGACCCATACTGATGTTTTTTTGTGCAGCACACACACATGTACACGCGCCCGGTGTGGATCAACCCTCAGTCACGGCCCTCTGCTGCAGGGAGACTGGAGTGATGGAAGCAATAGTTAAGCCATTAAGGCAAACAATTGGCTCAAATTGAGAGGGGGGAGAGAGAAAAGAAGAGGGGAGGGAGATGGAGAGGCTGTGGCAGGAGTGGATCCACTCAACGACTTAATCCGAGCCTCAGGACACTCTCCTGCTGAGCTTCACAGAGTCACACAAACATATACACACACACACGCACAGCAGAGCTCTGTGTGCTCGCAATAACACCTTGTCAGTCTTGGCCAAGGGGGCATGGAAGAAGCGCTTCATTCCTTTGTAGTGAGAGTCACCGACTTCCAACCACCTGAGGGAAAGACGGAGGGTGCAATCTACACTAAGACAGTTCTGTGTTTGTACGCCTTATGGCTGCAAGTGTCAACCTATTCATTGTCTTACAGGCAAGAGTGAATGGTGGACAGTGTTCCTCTGACACTGGCTATTGTACCGCCTCCACCGTGGACTCGTTCAATCCCCACAGGCCTCACATAAACAGCCAACAATGAGGGATTGTCTCCAGTTATTCTTTTAGCTGTGTGTGTGTGTGTGTCAGAGGGCGAAGGCTGCAGTCTAAACCCTGCGACCACTGAGGCTCGTCTAATGCGGCCGTTTTAGCGTTTATGTGCCTAAACATCAGGGAGATAGGGACAGTAACTCCTCGCTACCCTTCCCTCCCTTTCTCCCCTCTTTGCTCCACCCTCGGGGCTCCCACGACGTCGGGCCCCCCCGCGATTTATCGGACAGCTTAGCGAGGAGCGGTGGTTGCCCTCGAGGACTGTTAGCACTGGTGTGGCTCGTTGACTCCTTCTCCGGTTCTGGCATTTTATTTGACATGTCCTTTAAGTCCTTTAAAGAATTGGGCGTTTCTGCCGAGCGCCTTGGCTCTTTCTGCAAAAGATGGATGGCTCGCTCTCAAAGGTCTGGATGTTTTTGTTCCCCCCCCTCTCTCCATATCTCTCTTCCCCCTCCCTCCTTTCTTTCTCTCTTGCTGAGCTTTATAGGGCGGTATTAGTGTTGTCAGCTAACCAAGCTCGGGATTTGGCTTTGTTTTGTTTTTGCCTCTTAAGATAATGCTCTTTCACTCTCCTGCTGAGAATAACAAAGCGAAAGTAGAGCAATAAAATAGCACAGCCATCGACTTTGGTTTCATTGGATTGGTTTTCAGCCATCTTAAATAGACCACAGGCCTTGATGGCTGTGATGCGTGAGTGTGTGTTTGTAACCACTTGAATGTGCTGAAAACACAGTCACGCTTTGCCTCATGCATGCACGTGTGCTGTTCTCATCTCCGTAGGGCCTGGATGTTGAAAGAATGTATTCGCCGTAGCTCCAGTTAGCTTTCCACACGCGTGGACAGACGTGTGTGTTTTGTGGAGATACGTGTGAGTGGTGTAGCTCTGCAGTGTAAAGGGTGGACGCACTTCACCTCCATTCCATATGCATTCCAGATGTGGAAGTGTTACTGGAGCGATTTTGCCTGTAAGCATCTGTGTCCTGTTAGAGGGCCTGGAGGTTACTGTACTGGTTTGTCTGCCTAATCCCTCAAGTGCAACCTCAACGCTAACGCGCTGCTTATCCAGCACTCATTCATGCATGCACAAACATTCACACATGTATTGCGGCAGGCCTGCATACTCATATTCATAAAGTGTCTCTGATCTTCTCCACAACTGCAGATCTCATGTCAACCGTGGGGAAATCCTATAGATATATTTTGTTGCGGTGCTGTAAAATGCCAGGAATAGAGATCCGTCCCCGAATCTTCACTATCAAAAAAATCCACTTTTAGGGTCAGTGTGATGTCAGTTTCCTGATGTGTCGCCAGTTTATAGAGAAATTGCCAGCTTCAGTGATGTCTGTCTGTAAAACCGGCATTGAAAGCTGCCTCGCTCTGCTGTAAGGAGAGATTTTCTATTAGTTTCAGTGTTCCTGCGATGGCCCGGCTGTTTTAGAGGCCGCTGTGTTATAAAAAGGAAGTGCTGAAGGTCATATATTACATTTCAATTAGACATTGGGGTCCTCTCTTAAGGGAATATTTAGTTAAGGTCACACGAAAGTTTGGAAAAGAGAATTTAACATTGGCTTTATAGTGTGTAAATAGATATTGCTTTTTGTTATTTTGGCTTAGATGATGGCAATTCTTAGGTATTTTTCTTTCCTCAACACACTTAATGTCTCTGTCCATGGAAAAAGAAAGATTACAATTGGATACGAAAGAAAACCCCTTTGGATTGTCATAAAAATGCATTAAAACCAAACCTTTTTCTTTGTGAAAATGTAACATTGTGAATATGAAACTCAAACGTTAAAGGATATTCAAGGTTGTATCATTGATGTTTGTAAAAATGCAACAACAGTACAACACTAGATTATTATTCATGTTATGTTTCTCAATGTGTTAAAAGGGACACAACAGTTGCAAATATAGCCTTAGATTTATAGGGACTAGCAAAAGTTTTAAAAAAAAAGTCTTAGGGAACAATCAACAAATCTAATCAAATAAAACGTTATTTATATAAGATATTGTATACAGAAAGGTAACACAAAGTGCTTCACAAACCGTATAAAAAAATACATAACTTGGTGATCAATAAAAACACTTAATACAAACATAAATACATAAACACAACACAGAATAAAATAAGACTTAATACAATTCAATGGAAATGAACTTAAGCAGGTGTGTCTTTTGAGTCTTTACAGTATGAACATTATTTCCCACTCATGCTCAATGATGATGAGAAGAGGCGATTGAATATCAATTAATCTAAATCATTGTGATCGGTATAATAACCCTATCCCTTCTGTCTCCGCAGTAACGGCACGGCCGGTAAGATGAACGGCGCGCTGGAGCACTCGGACCAGCCCGACCCGGACGCCATCAAGATGTTCGTGGGTCAGATCCCGCGCTCCTGGTCGGAGAAGGAGCTGAAGGAGCTGTTCGAGCCGTACGGAGCCGTCTACCAGATCAACATCCTCCGAGACCGCAGCCAGAACCCTCCACAGAGCAAAGGTACACACACGGACTGTCCCGTTCTCTCTTTTACTTACTGAATTATTTCATTTCAGGTGTTTTACATGACTGCACTGATCTGAAGCCTGTTGGAGCAGCTTTTATGATTCTAGATTTGCTTTTAGTCTGTATTTTCCCTCTCATTTACCCTAACCCATTATTAGTCTCTACCTTTGTTTTATTTTCCCTTCTCTGACCTCCTTTTCTGTATTTCTCCTTTCCTCTTTGTATTTCCTTTACTTCTGTGTTTCTTTCCAAATGTTTTTATGTTCTCCTTTCTTTTCTCTCCTTCAACATTGTTCTTAACTTCCTTCTTGTCTCCATATATTTTCTGTCTTTGTTCCTTTAACCTTTTCTTACTTTGTCTCACTTCCCCTGCTACTTTCCGGTATTCCTGTACTTTATACTCTACATTCTTTCATTCCTAGATTTGTATACATCCTTTTTTTTCGTAATGCTTTTTCTTTCTTCCTTCCTTAACCTCTTTCTTTCAGTTGTTCTTCCTCTATACCTCTATTCAATTTATTTCTCATCTTTGTATTTTATTATTTTCTTACTTCGTCTCACCTTCCTTGCCCCTTACCTTTAATATTAAACTTTCTATATTTAATTTCTTTCCATTCCTTTTCCTAATCTTAACATAACATGTGTTCACTCCATTTTTTTTCTTCTTGTTGTTTTCCCCTTTTGTATAAATATTTCTATATATTTACTGTATACATATATGTTTTCTTTCCTTTTTTGCTTGTGAATTGCGACGGTATATGTTCTACTTGTTGTTGCTAGATTATGTAATTAAATGATTTGAATGGATTCAGAGAAACATATAGAAACTCACTCACAATGGCACTCTTCCATGAACCCAGCGTCTGAGTGGGCCGTCCCATCCAGTAACTAGCTGAACAAAAGATATATGCGCAAATGTACAGAAGCAAACTCACATTTTGTGCACCATTTGAAGACAAAGACTCTCCCCGCCAGACTTACACAGTCAATTGTGCGAAGCGGCATGATTTGTAGCTATTTTCCCCCGTTCCTTTTTTCTCTTTTTCCTTTGATGAATTTGTCAAGTGTGAGAGCAAACAATAGAGACAGCAGCAGCGAACAGGCAGACAATCGCGCTGCCATATTAACAGGCATCAACCGGGGAGGGGGGGTGGGCTGATGACACTCCTGATGAGACACGGGGAGTGGGAGGAAAACAAAGAGAGGGAACGAGAAGACGACGCTTGCTTCCATCCCACCGTAAAGCAAATTTCAAGAGAAGTTCCAGAGTGTCACAGGAAACCGAATATGATTCAGCGGGTTTGAAGTGAACAAACACTCTGCCAAAAGAATGCAATTGAATTAGGGATGTATGGGAACGAATGATTCCCATACGTGTATTGATTGACTTTGTGTTTGCACCATTGCAACACGTTTATTTAAAGTGGACCTATCATGCTATATTTGAAACATATATTGTAGGGCCATACCTATACAAAACATATCTGTGAAGTTTTTTTTTCAAAATACCAAACAGATCACCCATTGTAGCCATGCCTCTTACTGCTCAAACCCCTCTTTTGAAGCCCTGTTAGAGAAACGCGGATCTTGGGTCATTAGCTTGAAAAGAAAGAAAGAAGAGGAGGCGGAGCTAATGCCTCATCAGAATTCTACCGGAGATAAAGTTAAATTCGGTTGTAATAAAACGCCATCCTGTTTAAACCACGTGAAGGATTATTTCTGAAATAGTATGGAGCTCAAATGCTTTTTCTCTTGCGGGTTTATCACAAGGTGAGTTCCTTTTTTTATTTCCTGCTTTTTAAACACATGTGCTCTCCAGTACAGGTTAGCTCTGAGTGTTAGCGAGGCTTGCTAATGTAAACAAAGACGTCCAAAACACGTCAGGCATTGTTTCTGATAGCAACTTTCTTTGGGTCCGCTGCCGATTTGACGTCAGTTCGGATGAAATCTGTATCCGCTCGTTGTACACCCGTTTTTAAAAGATTTGGGTACGGAGGAAAAGAGAGAGGGTTTTATTTTCTGACGCTAGGTGAGTTCCCCGGGACACCGGGGACACATATGTATGTGTAAAAGACATCACAAAGTGCATTTTGCATGATAGGTCCCCTTTAAGCTAACATTGCAGAGGGGGCTCAGACTTTTATTATTTTAAGAGTTGGGGCCCCTTCTTCAGGTTAGAGCAGCTGAAATGTCTTTGAACGTCCCTATTTTCCTGTTTTCAAAATGCTGATCTATACAAAAAGAAGCATGCTCATTTCACTACATGCTAAATAAATAGTATAGTATATTGAAAACACACAAACTAACACCTCCCTTTTTAAACAGGCATGACTTTTTCAATCCTGAACATACTAATCGAAGGACGTCAATATATTCTCAAAAATATGCTCTGCAGCCTTCAGAATATAAGTCATGAGAGGCTTTATCTTTATATTCCTTTGAATACCGCTCAGTCTTTTCATATTTTTCCACAGTGTAATACATGTTTGACATAAAATAGACTGAGGTCTTTAAATGCTTACACATTTTTATAATGATCGTGTTTAAATTAATGGTTACCCAGGGGTTTTTCTGGAAAAATATAGTATGAGGGCGCTAACGTCACTTCCGGACAAAATGACGGCCCCGCCCACTTTCAAATGAAAAATAATGCAATAGAGTGAATTGGAAAATTATAGTTTATTCATGTCTTAAGGCTTCTGAGTCATATATTGCACCTCAAACAACAAATAAATCCTGAGTTGTGTTTTTTTTTACTTCTTCTACAGAAAAAAGGATAGTTGAAGAAACAATCTAATTCAGAAATCACAGTTTAAGTGTTTAAGCCTGTTACACAAAACAAACCTGTTTTTGCCGCTGACGGTCTATTTGACGCGATTTTCATATTTTTGGTGTAATTGTACCGTTTTTGACGAACATAAATATTGTTTTCTGGCATCACTTGAACATTTACGGGCGCCCCTGTTACCCGGTTTAGACAAAACCCTGGTTACCACAAAACGTAGTACGTTCATTGCAAGTAGTCCAAAATATATTTAAAAAATGTTAAATAAAAACTCTGGAACTTCATTTCATTTCATTTCAAACCTTTATTTATCCAGGTGTATCCCATTGAGATCATTGATCTCTTTTTCAAGGGAGAGCTGCTCAAGTAGGTTCCACATGAAACATAAAAACATAAACAGAACAACAAAAAGGACATTTTACAGCATCATTACAGGGATTTTACAATTTACAATAACTATCCACATGAGCAGGTACCAACAGCTTCCGATTGAGTAGCATCCAACCGAGCTTTAAAAACATTTAGTGGCACCAGATTGCTCAGTTTCCATTTAAATTGCAGACTATTCCAAGACAGTGGAGCTGCGCATCTAAAAGCTATCTTCCCTAAGACAGTCCTAGCAGTTGGCACATTTAATAAAACTACAGCATGCGATCTCAGGCAGTAGCCACTTACAATTCACCGTGAGATCAGGGAGCAGATGTAGGATGGAAGTTTCCCTAACATGGCTTTGTATATAAAAATGAACCAGTGACTGAGCCTCCGTACAGTTAGCGAAGGCAAACCAGCCCTTGCATACAGGGTACAGTGATGGGTTAATGCTTTACAGTTTGTCACAAATCTCAATGCGCTGTGATACGCGGCATCTAACTTGACCAGGCAATTGGCTGGTGCATTCATATAAATCAAATCACCATAGTCCAGTACAGGTAAAAAGGTCACAGTGACTAGCCTTTTCCTGGCCTCCAGCGAGAAACAGGACTTGTTCCTGTAGAAGAAACCTAGCCTAACCCTCAGTGTTTTAAGCAGGTTATTGACATGACGTTTAAAAGTGAGACAATCATCAAGCCAGATACCTAGGTATTTGTAACAGGTAACCACTTCAAGTTTTATTCCTTGCGTAGTTACAATATCTAAAACAGGCTCTGGTGTCTTTTTAGCTTTTGAAAAGAGCATTACCTTGGTTTTATCAACATTTAAAAGAAGCTTTAGTTCAGAGAGCTGAGTCTGAATAATGTTAAAAACTGCTTGCAATTCAACAACAGCCTCCTTAATGGAGGGACCTGCAAAATACATAACGGTATCGTCCGCATAAAAAAAAAACTAACAAAAAACTGCCTTGTCTTAAAGGAATGAGTCAATGGCTTGATCATCTGTTGAATCTTGAACATAATTAATGAAGAACCTCCACATGCTGTTCAGTGTTATAAGGCTTAAAAATATCAGTCTTACCCATTACATAGCGCTTAGTCAGTTAATACTTTTTGACAATCCAATACATTTTTTGACATAAGTCTATAAATGCTTATAATAGTGATGTTACTCTGAATTTAAGCCCAATAGAAAAGCTTAGGGTCCAGTTTTTAAGTTTAGTTTAGTTTTATTTAGTTGAGAAATATTGCAAGAGTAGACACATTCATGATATTTCTTTCAACTTTTGTCCACTTGAAAAATACCTAGCCAACATTGTTGTAAATATATTTGCAGGAGTGGCTTCTGATTAATATTTTTTAACACTATACTATTTATAATAACCGAGATTCCTCGCCAGTGAAGCTTTAATAAAGCGAGAGGAAGATGAGGTGACACAAATTAAAAATGCTGACAAGCTATTCAGGTCATATTTTTTAAATTAAATGATTTGTGGTGAGATGTTTCTTTCACCTTTCTGCACCCACACACACTCTGTCTGCGTTCTGTTTTTCCCCCTCTCTGGCTTCTGACTTAGTCATATGAGCTTATGAAAGCCTAGAGACAGCGTTCTGCAAAGACCCAAATTCACTCATTTTCGCACACCAACACACTTATCATGATCTAACGTGTGTGTGTGTGTGTGTGTGTGTGTGTGTGTGTGTGTGTGTGTGTGTTCTTAGCCTTGGGATGACTCCTCTTCCAACCAGTCTCTCCTCACTCTCTGCTGCTTCTACGGAGAGAAAAAGGTCCAAAGTTCCAACTCTTGTCCTGCAGCGCCTGCTCCATCGTCCCTGCC